GACTAAATAGTCAGGTGTTGCATGTTTCAAAAATTCTTGTGGCACACTGGTGTGCCTCTTACAGTACCCAAGTTAAAAATCGCTGGTCTAGCAAACAAATTTTCTGAGTTCAGGCTCAGTTGACAAAAAGTAAAGAAACACATAGCTGACTACAACTGTCAGTAGGTTTTGGAAAGTCTAAGGGATCTTGGAGATGGGATTTGACTGAGACAGTGAGGTTAACACCCTCCCTGTTTTTAGAGAGATCAAGATATCTTCTGATTTTTTTTAAGAAAGATCAAGATCTAAGCAGTAGGTCATGGCCAGGATCCTAGCATTACACCAGACAGACAGGGTGTAGGAAAGGATCTAACGTAGCTTGATTACACAGACAAAATAGAAAAGACCCTATCTAAAAGACACTCCAAGAAGCTTTTTGGATACCTTGCTATATTTCTTTTTTAAAACATAAACTCTGACGTTCACCCCAGTTATGAAGTAGCTGAACAAAGGGTGGTGATCTACATGTACAGTGAGTGTAAAGATAATAAATAGATCTTGTCTTTAGGGCCACACCATCTGGAAAAGCTATGGCACGCAAAATAAAATGCTCCTTCTAAACTTTAATTTACTAATTACTAAGCCGCATTTCCTCATGGGACATATGTCCTAAGACTAAGGGTGAACAGTGGGCACGAGGAATATTGAAAATAATCTCTTGCGCCATGGCCGGTTTGGCTCAGCGGTTGGAGCGTCAGCCTGTGGACCAGAGAGTCCTGGGTTCGGTTCCTGCTAGGGCATGTACCAAAAAAAAGAAAAGAAAATAGTTTCTTGTATTTCTCCAAAATTATTCTCTCCATTCTAGATCCACATTTTATTAAGGGAGCAATTCTCTGTCTGCTTTGAAGACTTGTACTCTAACGATGAAACAGCAGTCTGACAAAGAGTATCGAGAGAAAATATTAAATATGAACAGGAATTCCAGGGCCTGCAACATCCCATATAACCCACACTCCTCATGGTTCTGCACCCAAAAGACTCTAGAAGTAATGGGAGTCAATTCTCTGAAGATCAACACAAGCAAATTATTTACCTAGGCCTCCCCAACCTCCCCACCGTTTTCCAACCCCAGTCAAAATGACATCATCACAGAGTAGGAAAGAGAGTCCCTAAGGTTAAGAAGTTAAATCTGAAAAAAACTATGGCCTTTACCCTTAATGTTAAGAAAAGGGTATTCTGAGAAAATTTCTAGTTTGCTATTCACATTACCAAGTCTCTCCTTTAATTTCACTAGCTGACACCTTCCAGAAAAAAAACTGATAGTACTGCAATGTCCCCTTTAAAACCCCTAAGTAGCTTTCCTAGACCAAATAAGCCTCCTGATGATTATCCTCACACAAAGAAGAGACTGTCATTTGCACTTCCTCAACAACAACCAGGGAAAGAGCATCTTTTAATGTTGGGGGTGGAGGCATGAGAGCATCAACCCTTTAAAAATTAGCCATGAAGTTGCTCTAATGATGAAGCATGACACAAGGATGTGTGCTCAGATGAAGCCTGTCCCGTGGACCAGCCCTAGCCGTAGCTACTTCAGCTTTGTAGAGCTGTCACTTAAAGTAGGGCACTCGTCTGAGAACTGAAGTTCTTCCTATTCCTGCTTATTCCTTGTGTGATTTTTGTCAAGGTACTTGATATCTTTGGACCAGTTTTATCAGCTATAAGGGGGAGTATTTGAATTAAGACAAGGGTAAAAAAAGAACAATCTCCAAATCAATATCATGATTTCTCACATAGTTTAATGACTCTTTGGAAGTTATCAAACTCAAGGATCGATTCTGCCTCACTTTATATCTTATAATGGATCAAGAATAAGACAGCATGGCCACAAAACGATAGCTGTACCCAATATTATAAAAAGAAGGGTTTGCTTTCACTGTGGAATCTATTCTGCTATTTTAAAAACATATTCAATATAAATTAAAGGTCAGAGGTGAATGGACTGTGCTTTAAGTAAGTTTTGAACACAGATGCCATCTAGTCTTTGCATTCTGCAAAATTCTTCTTTAAGTGAATAAATGTGTAGGGTAACTCTCCATTACCTTGATCAGCATCTAATACCAACCTGACACTTAGAATTAAATTAGAGAAACAAAATTGGATACTTTGAGACTTGAGGGCTGATTATACTACTGGAGCTAAGAGTGGATTTAAACTCTTTCCTTATCCCATTTGAATCTAACTAGATATAAACTCTCCATTAAAGAGGAATAGAGGTGTGTCTGCAGAGGTGGAGGTTCCCCTTGATGTTCTTGGACAAGGAAACCTAATCCTTTCTTCTGACACACATGGTTGCAATAGAAAGCGTTCCCCAACTGCCAGTCTGGTTTTAATCTATTGTTTCAAGCAGGACAGGATTTGCAGGGAATGTGAAGAAAAGAGCAAAATTACCAGAACTTACTATAAAATAAAAGTGTTGATGAGAAATCAAATTTTAAACAAGTGTTTAAAATTGTAAGCATGAACACATTATACAGCCACACAGTGCATAAGTGTATGACTATAAAAGTTTTTAATTGTAAGTCTATATCAAGTCTGCTTTCAATACAACATTTGTATCTCATTTTACTAAAATTCTTTGGCTTACCAAATGATAGCAATGGTAAAATAATGCAATAAATACAATGGTGCTTCATTTAAACAACCCTCTTGGACAATGAAATATTCCATAAGTGAACTTTCCATGTAACCAAACTATGCATTATACAAACACTTAAAATGTTAACCATTTTGTCTGGAAACATTTCAGAGGTGTATCACATAATTTTTTTAAAAAGATGCACTGAAAAACATATCTTTTCCTGAAGATTCAGAATTAGCATGTAAAATCCTTATCAAAATATGCTGAATATACTGTACTCCTTAGACGAGAACAAGATGATGAGCTTATATGATGGTGAGCTTTTTGGTGATACTTTCCCTAACACAAAGGTTTCAGAATGCTGCTGTAAAAAAGTACAAAAGCAGACAAAACTAGCTTGCTTTTAATAGATCTAGTGTCTTTTCTGCTGTCAGCGGTCCCTTCTGGCTGTTAAATGCCTATCAACCTCTGAAAATTAATCATGTACTTGTCAAAATAATATTTAGGTTTAAAAGCTCTATCTACTCTATGTAAGGCACTATTCAACATGCTGGGAGAAATGTTAAGAAACACAAAATATAGTCCTTGCCCAAGGAGCAACCTCGCTGGATGAGTGACACCCAAGAGTCATCAGGTCACCACTGTGGTGGGAAACACAATTTATTACTTCTACGACTGAAAATAATTTACTTAAAAAATACAGATATTGAAGTGATTACACTTGTGTTCTGATACACCTTTTCCAATGGGAGTATGTCTCCCATGAAAGTATTATCAGTCATGTGAGTCTTAGCAGATAAAAGACTAAAATTACTGCTTAAGGAAACAAAGTAGGCAGGCCTTTTGACAGCTATCTGCTGTAACCCTCCTCTTATTTTTAGGCTTTATTTTACAATCCAGATGGCGTAGGATGTCATAAATCTAATCTTACTAATTCCTAAGGTCATTGAATCTAATTAATAACATCTGTTTTTTTTATTTAAAAACAAAACAAAACAGTATTTTAATGCTTTGCTGTGTATATAAAACATTTAGGCATTTTATAAAATTGTATATTTACAAGGGATACTGTATATTGTTATAAAGATCAATCATCACACCCACTGGCAAAGTCTCTTTCCTGGGTTTCAGTATTACTACATTTTAGGGGGGTTTTATGTATCTTTTGGTTACTCCTTTTAATTTCCATCATCCAGCCATCCACTTTTATTCCACAAATGCTACCTGGCAGTCTCAAAGACTTCCTTGGTTTCAATTACCATCTGTTTCTTAGTTCAGACCCCTCTCCTGAGATCCAGACCTATCTGTCTAATGGGTGTCACATTTGGGAGTACTATAAGCACCTCAAGTTTGACAGAGACAAAACCCAATTGATCAGTTTTGTTGAAGAATGAGCCATGATCTCCTTAGATTTTTTTTCCCCCTCATCCCTACAGTTCTTTCCCTGCTTATATTACACTAATTATGCTTGAACTTCACCAGTACTTTGTACCACTATTGAGATTTTAATGTATGGTTTTAATTAAAAAATTTTGATTTAACTTGTTAGATTTCAGTTCCTTAAGAGTATGGGCATCCTTATTCCATTGATTTCTTACCTCTCCCTATGGAAATATGGTAATTTTTAGAATTGTTCAATGGATAAATACAACAAAACACATAAAGGAATTCTGACAAATCTCTTCGTTATATTTTTACTGATATCTATCTTATATGTCTCGGTGCTTTTTTGGGTTATTAACAGAAGCAGGCGCACTGAGTTAACTCTTCTCATAATTTACCTCAAAACAGAAAACATTTTCTATCAGTTATCACCTTTTTCTGAGGCCTTCCCTGGTCGGGCAGAAGTACAGTCTTCCTCCCCAGTCCTGGTGTGTGCTTGTTTAACGCCTAAAATACCGCATCATGTATTTACTACAACCCCGTCAGGCCGTACACTTCTTGGAGGAAAGGTGTCTTTCTGTGTCCCTTCAGTGCCTCGGGCCTGCAGATCGGATGAACTGAGGCCACACAGATCTCAGTGGGGCACTTACTGCTCTCTAATAAGACTGCGAAGGCCCCATTCCTACGGAAACTTCTTTAAAGCTGCCTCTGGGTGGCTAGGATCCGAAGAGCAACTTCCTTGACTTTCTTCCGGTCTGAAACTCCGCTAATATCCCCGAAGGAGCCTCTTCCTCCAGGAAACCTGTTCAAAGATTAGGTCTCCCAGGGAAACACTGAAGGTAAGCCCCACCCTGTCCCTGTCCCCACCTGCTCCTCAAAGACCGCACTTCCCGGGCAGGGGCACAGCTGCCCGCGCCCGAAGGCATGAGCGCAGGCGCAGCAAGCAAACGAGCAGCGAATCTGCGACTGGCTCTCCGAGCCGACGTCATTCAAGACAAGAAGGCTCCGCCCTCCTCAAGATGGCGCTGCACTCAATGCGGAAGACGCGTGGGTGCTGGAACCTCATCCGGGCATTTCACAAAGGACCCGAAGCTGCTCCTGCTCCCCAGGTAACCAAAGCTGGACCTTCTCCCGCTGGTTTTCCATCCTGCTTGGTCCTTCTCGTGTCCCCTCCCTCCCTCCATTTGCTTTTCTCTTCCTGTTTCCTCTGGAGAACACACGGTCACTTCTAAAGTCGACTCGCGTAGGACTGCCCGTCTGTCTGCGGCGCGGCGACGTTGCAAAGGTGCGTGATGACGCAACGCGCCCCTGTGGGCGGGGCGCACGGCCGCCTGCCCTCTGGGAATGCCCACCTTTTCAAGGACTCATTGTGATCTGACCGTCGGTTCCCTACCAGCAAGCCAGGGGGCCTGCGGAGAAATTAGAGAAGACGTCTTGTCAGGAATTGGGAAGTTTACGTTGGTGTAGCCGCTGACTTCTTCCCTGTGTCAGTGCGGTACTTGAGCAAGTGTCAATGCATTTTTCAATGTGGTTCCTCCATTACCCCAAAGGAGACCTGCGGAAGGGCGTCCTGTCCTGTGCCAAGCAGCACTACTGCTACCATGAATTTCTCTGTCATGCGGAGAGCATGACACGGCCATCAGCCTGCCCGTCAGTATTTGGAATTTTACCCTCATAGCAAAAGAAAAATGTGTGCGTGTGCGTGCGTGCGTGTGTGTGCGTGCGTGTGTGTGCGTGCGTGTGTGCGTGTGTGTATTTCATTCATTCAGACATTTACTGAACGTCTTCCAAGTCTAATATAAGCGGTAGGCACATGCCATCTATCTCTTGGGAGCTATCTTTTGGGAACTAGGTCTAAACTTCGGATTATGTGATTATTGGGTAATTTTATGGCATATTTGCATATTCGTTGTGGTGTTGCGTAGGTGTGAGGATTTTTGTAAGGTAAGGGGTGTTTTGGGAAGAGCACTAGACTGGAAGTTAGGAAACCAGAGGTCAAGGAATTTGTCAGCCACTTGTTAGCTGTGTGACATGACAAGTCACTCAATCTCCCGGGGTTTATTCTCTAGCAAAATGGGTGGAAAGGTTGGTTTGATTGACATTTATGTTCTTTCAAGCTTTGGAATATCTATGGCTTCATGATTATGAATCCAAAGTACAGCAATGAGATTAATTATGAAAACCAAGATTTAAGTTCAACTTGTTTTTCTAATCATCCCACAAATCTCTTAATTCTTTGTACTTAAGTTTTCTTCATTGATATGAGAATTAAAAGATTCTTATAAGGATAAAGGGTATTATATTGGAAAGCTCTTCATTAACAAAACAGCTATTTAAATGTTATTTTAAATTTCAGCTATTGATTCAAAATTAGATAAATCCATGAAATATTCTCCTCTTTGAAACTCAAGGGTCTGATTCTGCAGAACCAGAATTGGTTGATTACTGTATTTATAGCTAATAGTAGCATGTTAAAAGCTATGGTATCAAAGTAACTAAGCCTTAGACCCCAACTTCCTCTCATTCCAAACAAGAGCTAAGGATGTCATGAGAAATAGAGAATCAAAGAGAAAAGAAAAAAGAAACTACAGCTCACTAACGACTGCCTAGGGAGATTAAGGGGACTAAATCATAAATGCTAAAGAAAAAATCTTTTAAACATCTATTGTTTCAGTGGCATTTACCAACACAATTATCTTAAAGTTAATCAACTGTTAATCTAGATTGTTTCAAGATGTAGAATTTCCAGAACAGATCAGTGTTTCCAAAGCTTTGATTTAGCTTTGATTAGATTAAGAATTACATGTGAGAGCATCTTTTTAAGATATAAATGTACAGCCCTGGCTGGTTTGGCTCAGCGGTTGGAGCGTCGGCCTGCGGTCTGGAGAGACCTGGGTTCGGTTCCCGCTAAGGGCATGTACCTCAGTTGCGGTTTGTCCCCGGCCCTGGTTGGGTCGTGGGGGTGGCAGCCACTCGATGTGTCCCTTTCACGTCGATGTTTCTCTCTCTTCCTCTCTCCCTCCCGCTCTGTCTGAACAAACAATGGAAAAATGTCCTCAGGTGAGGATAAAAAACAAAACAAAAAGATATAAATGTACATATAATTTTCAGTCACTAAAAATGATGGTTTGAAGGATTAACACAGTCCTTTGAAAGACCAATTGAAAAAGATACAAAATTGCATTAATAGTGTAATTACAATATTATGTTTGCAAATAAATATTTATATAAATACACAGAAAAAAAAAGACTAGATGGAAACTATTCTTGTTTTGTTTTGCTAGGTTTTCCTAAATAGTAGATTAAAAGTGATTTTAGTTTTCTTTTTAAGCTTTCCATATTTTTCACATGTTCTAAATTGAAGATAGATCACTTTTAGACCTAGAATAAGATTTTAAAGTGTAAATCTCCATATAAATGCATAGTCATTAATATCATCTGTGATATTTTAGGTCTCAGAGAGATGCTTGTCCTACAGTGCTGTTATTAAAATGGCCTTAGAAAAGGACTACTAAAAATTTATGGCCACTTTTCCTGTGTGTATCTTCTTTTTCTCTTGAAAAGCTTCCTTTGAAGTCAAAGAGATTTTGTGAACAGATGCAGAAATATGTGAAGGAAGAATTGGATTCTTAAACCAGATGCATTAGACATTTTTATGATATCTCATAACCTTTGTAGAAAACAAAAATTATTTTGCAAGAGAACAGTATAATAGAAAGAAATGTATATTTGTCATATGGGTGATTCTATCTAAAACTAAGAAACAGCCAAGTTGCGTGCTATTCGTTTTGGCTGCACAGTTACTCCCTGAAGTGAGAAGCAAAACTGGAGGAGCCATCGCCCCTTTGTTGGAAGCTGTGACTGCTAAAGTAGTATGATTCCTACGTTGTTTTAGTGTTTTCTTAAAAAAGCAAAATCTTGGATAATAAACCTGGCGTTGAGGACCTTTAATTATCTCAGAGGCAGGCTTTTGCCCCTCAAGGCTAGATGTAGACTCAAGTTTAAAATAAAAAATAGGAGGAAAAAGAAATAATAGTGTATCAAGCAATAGTCATTTTGAGATGCCTACAGTTTATATGAAAGAGGTTTATTTTGCCAGGTGTTGCCTGACAGAAAACTGTTGAAGTCTGACAAGATGGGAGTAGTCCCAGAGTCAGAGTGAAGGTCTGACGTATTATGCTTAAATTATGCTTAAATGCTGATGGCATTAGGTAAATAAAAGCCTGTCATCATTAGTCAAACACAGACTCCATACTTTTTTAAACGCTGAGTTATGATTTTATTGTGCAAAGACTGAAATATTGATGGTTAGTCAAGTTTTGAGAGAATATTTATAATTATTCAATTGAAATGTAGATTGTCCCCATTTTGTCCTAGTTGAACAACACTTCATTGTTAACGGTCCCAACCTGGCTTTGGCCAATATGAATATACTGTTCCTACTGTTAATGGCCACTAAGTATAGCCATCGGATGAAATAATTATGCCTGCAAAAAAACAGACAGTATATTAAATTTTTTATCTTGTATTTATTTCTTACAACAAGGCTTTTTAAAAGTTCATCTTTTTAAATTTGTTTATTTTAAAATAATTTTAGATTTATTTACAAAGTTGCAAAATTTGTACAGAGTATTCCTATATACTCCTCACCAAGGTTCCTCTTATATAATCACAACCTATTGATCAAAGCCAAGAAATTAACTTGTTGCAATACTAGCTACTGACCCATTTCAAATTTGACCAGGTTTTCCACTAGGATCAAATCCAGGATCCCATATTGCATTTAGTTGTCATGTCTCCTTCAATCGATGGCACTTCCATGGTCTTTTGCAACCTTGGCACTTTTCAAAAGAATTAGTCAATTATTTTATAGAAAGTTTCTCAACTTGGGTTTGTCTGATGTTTTCTCACATTAGACTGTGTTATGGATTTTGGCAAGAATACCACAGAAAAGATATTGTTCATAAAGAAGCTTTAAGATAGGGTATTAGCACCTTCTTTTAAATCACGAGGAAGTAGACTTTAGTTAAGTAACTTGCCTAGTGTCACAAAGCTAATTAATCGGGGAATTAGGATGGCAAAATTTACTATTGGGATTTTGTTATATATATATATTTATTTATTTTTATCCTCACCTGAGGACATTTCCACATCTATCCTCAGACAGAGCCGGAGGGAGAGAGGGAGGAAGAGAGAGAGAGAAACATGAATGTGAGAGAAACACATGGAGTGGTTGCCACCCACACAACCCCACCCGGGCCCACGGACAAACCACAACTGAGGTACGTGCCCCCAGTGGGAACCGAACCCGGGACTCTCTGGTCTGCGGGCTGACGCTCTCAGCGCTGAGCCAAACCTGCCGGGGCTCTTTCTATGTTTTGCAATTAGTGTTTGTTTTTGTAGGTCTATGATCTAATGAGATTAAAATGGGGTAGTGTTTCCAGTTACTTTACTCTTAGCTCTTCTGTGCCACGTATTTTCTGTCCAACATGCAACATGAGATAATCAGCATGGAGAGCTATCAGGAGCTGCTGCAGCCATCTGGGAATTTTGCTAGATGATAACTGTGCCAGTTTTCTCAGTCTCTTCATCTCTCTGCCTTTCTTAAATGGTAAATAAAGCATTGTATGGATCCACTCTAAAGCTTTTAAGCTCAATCTAGGAGACTATTTGTTTAAAATGCTCTGTAGGTTAGTTTTTCTTGTGAACTAACTTAGCTTATTAGAAATAATATTTCTGCCTTGGCCAGTTTGGCTCAGAGGTTGGAGCGTGAGCCTGCGGACCAAGAGTCTCGGGTTCGGTTCCCAGTCAACGGCCTCATAAAGAACATTTACTCCAGGTCTGCTCTTGATTCCATTCTACCACCATCACTCAGGGTTCAGGAATTTCTCTTCTAGAGACTGCAACATGAGGCCTAAGGCTTCTTCCTGAATTTCCACAGGAAAAATTTACTCATTTAGGGTGGAAGCTGCCCTGCCAGTGTGAGACACTAGATGCAGAGAGATAATTTATAGGCACAGGGATGATCCATTGGCTCCAGCTTGACTTAATTTAACTCTGCTCAGGCATTTACAGTTTGCTCTATCTATCATTTCTGAGCAATACTCCA